ATGCGAGCTTGAAAAGATAATACTTCCTAAAGGACTACTTACTAGTTCATGGAGCCCGCAGTTGTTGGGTTTGTTTGCGGAAGGCAGAACACAACACCAATGACAATCATAAACACGACCGAGTACAGATTGACTGCATAACCAAGTTTACCAAGGCTGAAGGCACGTCTTGGCAACTTATCGCGGCCTTGTGTAAGTAACACTCCTTGGGGGATAACGTATGAAAGATTCAGCATAAGGCAGGTTGCGTTGATTATTGAGTTGAACGCTGTTGTGCTTGCGACATAAATCAAGCCGTAGAGAGCGCAGAATGCGGCAGAGAGGAGAGTCGTTCTCCAGGGAATACCTCGCTTAGGATCAATATGTTGCCAGTATTCGGCGAAAGGAAGTCCTTGCTGTAGGCCAATGTCAGTCATTACTTGTTGCAATGAAGCCCTTACTTACGTCGCGAGCAAATGCCCAGGTGATGCGGCTGCAGGTCACCCACTGGCTTGGGATGCACGCTAAGAACCTGGTCAGAAAGCATTACACGGTACCGAGATTAGGGGCTTACTATAGTAAAGGAACGTTAGGTAAGCTTGCAGACCAGTGGCAGCAGCCTTGCTCCCAGTGGCTTGGTAAAAGACCTCAAAGCTTGGGAGAAAGGAGCTCTGGACGGCGGACAAGTCCTTGATGCAAAAGAGCATAGCAACGGTCCACGGGATAACTATGACAATACCCATGGCCATGCTCATGTTCCTAGATTTTAGTTAGTTTTAAATCTCCACTCAAAGCCTCGATCAACTGACAGGACCTGGGGAAGCTTCCGGCCTGGGTTAGGCAGCTCCTCAGCGATATGTGTGACAGCACCATTTGCAGCGAAGCAGTATAGGGCAGCAGCAATGGAAAGGAGCCAGCCTGTACCAGTATTCCAGCCGCTGATGCCACGGTTCTCGAGTATAATTGTACCCGGGGCGTAATCTCCATCAGCCATGCCTAAGCATACTGCAATGCTAAGTACCATTCCAATGAGGGAGAAGCCTGTAGTCGATTCGGTCATGAAGTCGAGATATCGCTGCTTGATCGTATAAATCGGGATCACTGTCGAGAGATAAGAGGTTAGTAGAGGCCTTTTCAGTACATGTCCCTGTAGCTTACGTGACAGCACAGTGACACCCAGATAGCAGAGATAGACTTGATATCTCTGTTGTGCGAAATCAGGAAACCATGCCGCAGCGCACCCAAATGCAGAAATGGCTGTATAGATCAGACCCGAGCATGTGGTGATCCACCACGCAAGAATATTGATCGACCCTGTGACATAGGCGCCAAAGTTGCACGTTTTCGGCGACGCGATAATATACGTAAAGTGGTATTGTCCACCAGAAGACGGAAACGCGGAGCATAGTTCAGCCAAGCCGAGGAAGACGATCCACTGAGCGGCAGCGGCGATAAGGAGGGCAAACAAAGTAGTGACGCCGCCTCCGTAGATGAGGACGAGGCCGAAAGACGAAGCGTATGTGAGCCACGAGTTCGATATACTGTCGTGAAATGCGTGTTAAGATGGGATCATGTGGTACCATAAGGAACGAACCTGTAAGCCAGAGAAAGTGCACCCAACCAGGAGAAAGATCTCTCGAGTTCGGCTTTGTGTCCCTGGGCACGAAGACGCCTGTCGTCCGCGTCGACGATAGACCCCCTGCTAACCGAGGGGGCACGGTCAAGGGGGGCGACCCGATCAAGATCTTCGGAGGGCTTCTTATCCATGGTGTTATTGTGAACAGTTGACAGTCAACATGAGTGATGAGGGTCAATTAGTCCATACAAGGAGATGGTGGTTTATATGGTAATTGACAACGCCACATTCAGACATGTCCTGGCACCTGAGGGCGCACTACAATACGTCAAATCTCACTATCAGGGTGGAGTTCCGGCGCAGCCGCTATCAGGCGAAAGACCTGCGCCTTTATCTGCCCCCCTTTTCAACATTGCCAATGCCAAACTGAATTGGGAAGCTTCACCAGCCTTCCCGTTGGTAGAGTACAATTTCCCTGCCTCGCTACCCCAGATTGTTATCGAGATTGTGTTTAAGCGACGCCAAGCCTTGGTCTTATCTGGTGAACTGGTGCAAACGGTCCAGAACGGCAATACAACTTCCCATACAGTGGCGATATCGGACAAAGGGAACGTTGCTAGGAAGACGTAATTGGATATTGCTGTTTTAGTACATGATAGGATGATGCGGGGAATTAATACTAGATTAGGACTAACGATCAGGATGGTAAGTTATATCTATATTGGGTCTTATGTTAGTGAGGCAACACACTCTAAATACCATTCTTCCAACCAGTGTTGACAACTTTGATAATATTAACCCCTTATTAAGGAAAGGAAAAGGCTTAGCTGATCTTTATCTGATCAACATATTGACCTTTACATATCACTTGAGATGTTTTGGTTGGTTCCAGTTTTTGGCTTTGGATAATTGTCCCAGGACTTGCCCTCCATGCTTGGGAGACTATTCTTTAACTAAAATATAAGCCAGTCTGGCAAAGATTTTGAAAGTGCCTTGACATTCTGTCGGTTGGTTTTTCATGTTACATCCCAAAACATTCAAAAGCCAATAAAGTAATAAGAATCGCCATATAGAAAGACTTGGAGAGAAGTCTTGTAAGGCTAAGCTGCTCCTTAATCTAGATTTGATTAGTAATTTCTTCTGTATAATATCTTTATGTATAAAGTGACGGCTGCAATCCGCTATAAGGTAGAGGATTATCTAAAAGAACTGAGCCTATATCTGCTATTTTGATTAGTCAGTATCAGGAAGTGATCGTGATCGAGGGAGGAAGGCAGGTGTAAATTACCACAGTAAGGCTTTCATTCCAGCCAGAGAGCAGAGTTGTTCAACTGTTCATGATCTGTGCCGTTGTTTATCTGTTCTAGAGTAAATATTTAGTTTCAGTTCATTACCTCCCTCTTTTACAGTTTGTTACTTCCTGTTACAGTTAGCATGGTTGCAATTTCCTAAAGCGGGCTAGTGTTAGTTGTTACAGTTAAATGTTATTAAAGTTCAGAAGTGCGGCTGACCTGTAGCTAAGCCCCAAACTCTAAGCCCTTCGCGATGGCTCCAAGAAACAAGAACGATGCCCGAATAGAGCCAACAGACCGTTTATATGTTGTGGCAGAAGATGCAGTGAGACTGCCAACACTGGTTGTGACACTTGTATGGGACTACGGAAGATTACAAAAAGCACAGTGATAACATCACCTGCAGGAGAGTCCGACAAGGTTTTGCCGGAGGGGTAGTGATACATGAAGGGAGTTTGTGACTGTTGTGGGTGACGGCGGGAGATGAATCTCAGCATTGTTTTAGGTGTAGTGAAAGTACCATAGTTAACAATAGTTGTCTACAGCTGGGGAAGGTCACGAAACACGTTCAAAATGTTCTGAGGTCCAGCAGGACTCTCGATTGTCATAGTATAAGGTGTAACACTTCTGTATCGAGGTGTTTTTACATATGACTGTGGCCCGACAATCACTGCGGTCACAGCATCGCCTGAAACGGACTGAGGCATGGCGGTGGTGGATGCAGCCATGACACCTCCACAGGACGTGATGGGCGCAGTTGGTAGTGGCTCATAAGCAACAACATTTATTACTTACCCGGCCGTATATGAGGATACAACGAATGGTTGTTAAAGCATCAGTAAAGGCTTGTTAAGAGGTGACGCTTCACTAACTGATATAGCTGATTGACAACAACGATGCCTACACTAGAAGGCCAATGAGGGCTGGCGACTCAGCAGACTGAGTCGGTATAAGATCGGGAAGCGTAGTAGTCTTGACCCCAGCAACCATTCTTCCAATGACATCTGTCCTGGAAGGTACTACTGTGCAGGTGCGAGTGGTGGAGATTGCTCCAGTAGAGGTCACAGTCATCAAAGTGATATGTTTAAGTCAATTCATATGTGTATTGTTCTCCATGCACTCAACTTCAGAGTCTATCGAGCCCTGTGAGACATGTATCATCGTAGGAGCTGTTTAACCGTGCTGATGTCTGGGTTTAACAGCCTTGTAGCAGTAGTCCTCGACTGAATTGAGAAGGCTTTTTATGTTGCTTTTGATGAGTAGAGTCTTCAGCTCCACATTATCCCTCTAAGATAGAAGTAGGAGGAGATGAAGTAAATATCTGGGTGGATATGGGAGAACAACTGTGAAGATTCTTGGCTCCTGGAAGTTGTCAAGGTTCTTTACGGGGTCAAGAGGCCGAAGCGCCCTGCGTCGCCGAGACTTGGGTTCGTAACGAAGACTAGAGTCATCTTCTGGCTTTCCGATGACCACATGTAATATTCTGCCTCGGCAATCAGGGGGCAGAGTCATACCATCACGGTTACTTATTATAGCGTCAATTGAGGCACCAGTAGGGATCGCGGTCTGGATGAAAGATTCCTCAAAACACGGCCTAGGAATGTAGCTTCATTCATGTTTGACAGGGGAGCTCAACCAATAGACAGTAATTAACTACTAGTGGCACGAGAGCAAGGATGGCTCTGATGTCTCTCTTATTCTTTCCAACTCGTATGTTCTCGATTGCGAGAAGAATGCAGTCAATGAGGCACCCAGAATGGTTCACCATCTGATCAGTGTTTATGTGTAGGGTTTTCCACAAGGTTTGGTTGAATGCATGAATGTCAAAAAACTAATGCAAGGAATTTGCTCTTGCAAAATTAGCTCAATACAAAAGAGCCAAGGAGAGGCCCACCTAGGCAGCAAGAACTTTTCAGAGCCATGTTGAGACTAAAAATCTGATAAGATAATCTCAACCGTTGCTACACTGTGATAGGTTAAGCTTAAAATGCCAAGACGTCCTGGTTATCAATCTAGACTATTTGCGTGTTTAGCATGAACTTGGGTGGTCTGATGACACGTCTTGGCATGGGGGAACCCTCGTACTCATGCAGATTTAAGAAGATGCTGTCCCCTGCTACGAGATGAAGATTTGTCAATGCAAAATTTCAAAAATGGCTGCAGAAAAGAGCGAGATCACGCCTGCTGGCCAGGGTCCTTTGGATCAAAGCAATAGCAGTGCTGCAATTGACTCGGAGAGCAACCAAGATGCCGTCTCAGCTCCGACAGAAGCTCTGCGCAAGCTCTGGACTAAGCTTCCGCTTACCTTGGCGTTCGTCGGGTGAGTGAATTTCTACCTCGGGCCCCGCGGATAGCAATGCTAACTCGATACTCCAGGCTTTTCGTCATGAACTTCAGCATGGTCTTTGCGGCTTCTTCAGCTGGTGTTTATGATCCATACGCGACGAGCCATTTCCAAGGTCACTCGCTTATTGCTACGGCAAATATCGTTCATGGCATTGTTCGCATTGTCACGTATCCGCTCGTGGCCAAGGTAGCGGATGTGAGTATACTTAGTGCTGCTTGTTTCAGTAGCCGAGGCTAACTGAGCACCAGCATATTGGACGACCGCAGGGATTTGCTGGGGCCGCGATTAGCATGGCTCTGGCGAATGTCCTTTATGCGGCGTGCCGCAATGTCGAGACATATCTTGTAAGTGAGATCGGTGTCTCATCGTTTGATTGGAATTGACTGATGCCGTTAGGCTGGTGGAATTTTTGAATCGTTTGGCGATACCTGGTGGACCATTACTGAGCAGATCTTCATTGCCGAGGTGACATCCCTGATCAACAGAGGCTTCCTCTTTACACTCCCGGAATCACTGGCTGCCATACCGACTTTATACGCCGGTACATATCTCGGCGAGCATATGCTGCTCAAGTCCTCATGGCGCTGGGGCTTTGGCATGTGGGCTGCCATCATGCCATTTTGTGCACTGCCGACTATCGCAGTTATGGTTTTTATGAGTCTTAGAGCGCGAAAGAGGGGCATAGCCAGCAAGCGAACCTCATTGCGAGCTGCCTCCGAGATACCGAAAGGTGCTTCTTGGATCGTCCAAGCTCGACAAGTTCTCTATGTCCAGTTGGATATTGTCGGAGCGTTCTTATTACTTGCGGGCCTAGCCATGACGCTTCTTCCCCTTTCCATAACCGGAAGACGCAACACTGAGAAGTGGACCGAGCCATCTTCTATCGTCTTGTTGGTCGTTGGTGTCCTGACATTTGTTGCATTCTTGATCTGGGATGGCCGGTATGCTAAGAAGCCAATTGTGCCTTTCCGCATGATCAAGAACCGCAACGTCATACTCGCTTGCGCTTCGGTATGTTTGATTGCAATGTCGGACTCGACGTATCGAACATTTGCATCTAGCTTCTTGCAGGTTGCTGGTGGCTATTCCCCCGGCCATGCCGTTCGTATTGAGTAAGTTACCCTGATCCCCACAGCAGAGCACATAAGTGTTGACTACCTACCAGCAATTCCCGACGTGTCGCTTTGAACCTTGGTGGTCTTGTCATTGGCTTGGCTATTCGATTCGTCAAGCACACTAAACCATTCATCATCCTCGGATTCCTGATGGTCGCTTTAGCCAACGGGCTTCCCATCTTTTTCACAAATATCGACGGACTTCGAGTCGCAAATGAAGCTTCATTGACCACGGGACAGGTGCTGCTTGGCCTTGGCCGTGGTTTCGCACAGGTTCCACTGCAGGTCTCTTTGCAGGCCGCTGTTCCAGACCATGAGATTGGTATTGCAACTGCCATGTTCCTTTCGTCCTCTGGTTTCGGTGCCAATGTTGGTAACAGGCAAGTCTCACACAGTTCCCTTCTTCCCAGTCTATAATCTGACATGCTCTCTAGTATCGGAGGAGCCTTATGGAATACTTTGCTTCCCCGCCGCCTCTCGGCAAATCTACCCGAAGAAGTCAAGGCCAACAGCACTGCAATCTTTCGCTCCATCGTCGTTGCACAGAGCTATGAGTTGGGCACTGAGATTCGTGATGCGATTAATCTGAGTTATCGCATGACACAACAGACCCTCGCTATTGGATCTCTATCCCTATCTATTCCGCTACTTTTGATGATGTTCTTCTTCCGAAATGTCAAGTTGGCCAAGGAGGATGATGTGAGGAACGAGGTTGCCGAACAACAACTTGCTGCGGCAGGGCAGAAACTTGAGAGTGGGCAGAGTCAGCCAGGAGAAAAGAAGTAACTTTTTCTCACATGTTACATTATGCAAAGCTCTACGGATACAGGGATGAGACAGTGGAACGCCCTCTTTTCACAGCCAGAGCTTAACCCACTGGCAGAAATGTGGGCAAATTGTTCACAAGCAGCCATTGGACTGCCATCCATCGCAAGTGGGACGGACTTGGATAAGCGGAAGCTCCGCGCCACGCGCCATGAAACGCAGCATGGTCTCTGATAGTCGATCCTTTGCAACATGGCTAGGTAGGAGATTATCAATACATTTTAACACAGTTCCAGGCAAGAATATTTCTGCTTAGAGTAGGGTACAAGGGGGTTCAAGGAGAGGATTCATAATGTAGTCTATTAGATGTATGTAGCATATGCCAGAGATAGAAATTTAAGCATAAATGCCCCCTGTCTTTTAGTCCATCAGGAGTTCTTGTTCAAAAGAAAAGGCGAAGGTTTTCAGCCTACGGAGTACACTGCAAGTAGTTATCACACGAGCCAATTTCCAAAATTGAATTTGTCATCTGAGATAATAAGATTTATTATTGCTATGGAAGGGCTTTAATTATCATGCTGCCTGGTGGCATCACCCTCATCTCAAAGGCAAATGATTAATAATGCAGCAGTCAGGTGTCAGTGAGAAGCATAGCCTGCTCCCGAAACTCATCGGGGCCCACCAAATGGTCAGACAAATCCTGGTAAGTACGTTCCGAAGTCCTAAATCTACTGTCACTTACCGCATCGGGGTGGGTTATAGGGCTGTGCTGTGATTGCTGAAGGATCACACTCTGGCGGCGTTACATTCGCGTAGAGAAGTTTCTTAGTGGGCTAAATTCAATGTCGTATCGAGCTCACGTTATGTTCTGGCAGACGAACAGACTGAACCACAGATTCTTACGCCAAGACAGTTATCGAAATTGATGTATCCACCATTAGCCCAGATAACCAGAGACAATATCCAGACTACAAAATGATTGCGATGCTCGAGATAATCAAGGGAGACACAGCATACAGATTCCCTGCAGCTTTATGGTTTGTTAGCCATGCAGTTGATACACTTGTTTACCTCCCTCTGGGGAATCCTATTGCATTTCTTTTTACTCAATGCTACACTCATTCACGCACATCCTCACAATGTCTTACATTCTCAATACCAGTCTCCCAGCGCTCTACCTCGAATCCATGAGGGAAATAAAGCGCTCCAGAAGCGTGCAAATCCTGATCTCAGGGTGATGGCCCTCGGAGCATCGATTGTGTTTGGTGTAGGATCAAGCGATGGAAACGGGTCGGAACTACCCCCCGGAATATGCAATTCCCGCTAACCCTTCTGCACCTTTCAGTTTCCGCAAGTTGCTACGAGATCAGCTTCGGTACTATGGGTACAATGTTGACATGCTTGGGACCAAGAACGGCGGCACAATGAAAGACAACGTAAGAAACCTAACCTCTGATTGTGTATCCCAAGATAACCTTTATTCTATGCTTAGGACGTGGAAGCGACCTCTGGCTATGTTGTCTCACAGATCCACGCCGCCTCGAAGCTTTCTTACAAGTACAAACCGAATCTTGTATTCATCAACGCTGGCACGAACGACCTCGTACACAACATTGATACGGGCAACCAACATGAGAGACTCAAGTCGATGTTGCTCGATCTTTGGTCAAACATCTCGGACAAGACTGTCATCATTCTCTCCACCATCCTCCCAGTCGACAAACCCGAAGCCGAAAGCCTGCGCGGACCTGTCAATACCAAGTATCGGGCTGTGGTCTCGGAGCTACGCAAGCAAGGAAAGCCCATCTTCCTCGCGGATCTAGACGGTTTCATGACGCTGGATGATCTGGGTGATGGCACACATCCAACTGATTATGGCTTCAGCAAGATGGCCGGGGCATTCTGGTCAGCGTTTCAACAAGCTGAGGATGAGATCAATGATCCTCTACCAGCCGATCTAGCAGGCGACTCTGGAAAGACTTGTCGCAAAAGTCCTGGTGATGGCGTCAATGCTGGTTCTCAGACACAGAGAGGCAGTGGCTATGACGACGGCACCTACGAACATGACAGTCAAGAGATGGGTACCCTCATGACCATCACGAGTGACTGGGACAGGGGCCAGTGGTTCTTTGCTCGCTTATTCCGCTCAGACCGAGATGATCTTCTGGGCTGGGTTGAGAACTCGGCGGGTAATGTGGTCTACGCTATCCGACGGAATGATGGCGCAGGCAAGTTCACCAAGATCAGCACCGATCTGGATGTCCACGATAACTGCAAGATCAAAGGAGTTGTATTCATTGACCTTAACGGCGACGGTCTCGACGACTTTGCTTGCATCGGGTCTGATGGCGCCGTCTATGCCAGCATCAACCAAGGCAATGGAGGAGGCGACAAACCCCCTACCTTTGTCTACAAGGGCCTGTGGAGAGCTGCCGACTCCAGATATCCCCAGAACAAAGTGCGACTTGCTGATATCGATGGTGATGGCCGCGCTGACTTTTGTGGTCTTGCTGACAACGGCGATGTCTACGTCTGGCGTAACGGATGGATCGACGACATGCCCAAATACTGGCAAGCTCTCGGAAAGAGATTTGAGGGAAAGGGCATGGGCAATTTGGACGGTACCCGCTTCGAAGACATTAATGGCGACGGCCGTGATGATTGGGCTTGGGTAGGCGACCAAGGGGAAACGTTTCTCTGGACCAATCACCGCAGCTGTGGTGTTGGCAAGGAAGGGGATGGCCTGAAGGTAGCCTGGCGCCCGGGCTACTACAAAGGCAAGACATCGGGCCCGACACATACAGGAGGGTTTGCAAAGGGGATCAGGAACAGGATCCATTTTGCCAGAATCTACGGCGAGCCCCAAGATTTTGGTCTCCTTGGCAAGCAGGACTACGTTTATATGGAGCACTCCAAGGGAAGCGATGGCAAGCACACGTTCAAGATGCGCGTCTGGAAGAACAAGGGCTACGGAGGCACCAAGCTCAAGGGCGACGGCAACAAATACTGCGACATGACAGGAAACGGTCGTGATGACTATGTCTGGGTCTTGTCAAAGGGAGAGATGAACTTTTATCCCAACGCTGGCAAGGACTTCATCACGGACAAGGACAGCTACTGGGGCCCCATGCAAAAGGCCTTCTTCAAGCCACCGCGTGACCTGGACCGACGAGATATTTATCTTACAGATTGGGATGGCGACGGCAAGTGCGACATTGTCTGGGTCGATCCCGATAACAAGAATCATGTCTCTGTCTGGAAGAACAACTACACTCCTGGCGGTGGCTTCAGCTGGCAGTACCTTTCTAACCCAGCACCGGAGCTCTATTGTCCTGAGAAGCGAGGCATCGGCTTTGGAGACTTAGCTGTTCAGTTCGCCGATGTCACCGGCAACGGGCTAAGTGACTATCTCTGTCTTGAGAAGAACGGCAGGATCTGGGGATGGACGCAGGATTCTCAAGGTTCCTGGACATACATCGACCAGTTCTTCGGTACCAAGGGACATGATCGCGCCAACATGCGTTTTGCTGATGTTGACGGTGATGGGCGAGATGATGCCATCTGGGTTGAGAAGTTCTCGGGAGATTCTTTTGTCTACTACAACAAGGGCCGCAAGGACATCGCTGGGTCGCGATACCATTGGGAGATTCAGGAGCGTGGAGGTCCCTTCCCAGCCTATGGTGGTAGCTACGCCGGTTCGTGTCAGTACTTCCCAGACCTCAACGGCGATGGAAGAGCCGATCTTCACAGCATCCAGGCAACCTTTCCTAACACGGCCGTTACCGCATACAACATCTGTGACGGCAACCGATCCGGCGACGATAGCTCGGAGATCAAGAAGCCCGACCTCATCACCCCAAATAACCCCGGAGGCGGCGGATCTGAGGAATCCAACTCACCTCCCATTCCCGCAGAGAACTGCAAGGTCGTGCCGGACTTTATGTACACGCCTCTCAAGCGCGTGGGGAGGAGCGCGAGCGGTGAAGACTACTGCTTCGCCAAGTGGAACAAGGGCGTCTTCATCAAAGAGATCGAAGCAGTCGCGAGCTCCGGCTCTCTCCGCTACATCCGCGTAGCCTACACGGACGGTACCATCGAGGAAGCAGGCGTGAAGGTCCCAGATGACTCCCACCACCGCTTCGGTACTGTGAAGTGGGATCCCTGGAGTGATTACTTCAACGTGTTTGAGATGCATGACGGTGGTTTCAAAGGCGGCATTGGGCGGATAGTCCTCGAGATGTCCAACAAGTGCGGCGGTGATGGCAACTGTAAACTCGACGCTGGAAACTACATGGACTTCCCCCCTGTCATGCAGAGAATCCCTCGCGGTGATTCAGATCAGGGAATGCTCCTGGGTATTCGACTCAACGCAGGCGATGTCATCGAAAATATGATCCCCATGTTCTCTAAAGCCAGGCCTCTGAAGGTGACTCTCGGCGAGCCCAACTTCACACCAACATTCGAGGAACTCAACTCGAAGCCCTTTGAGTAGTTACCCTCCACCCGCCAGTATCATACTTGACTAACATCCAGCAGGGAGCGCCAGATGGAGATCGTCAGGACCTCACATGTTGTATATAACCGCCGGGCAGACAAGCCCGTCGAGATGGGAATCGACCTCTATCTCCAAGTCGAGAAGGGCACCAAAGTCAACTGGAATACCCAGATGGGATGGGAGTCAGGCGGCGAGATCGGCGGTACCATCGGAGGCGGTATGGAGTGGGACATTGGTCTTCCGGAGATGATCTGGGCCAAGGTCAACGGCAAGCTCGACGTCTCGGGTAAGTGGGTAGGGAAGAAGGTCGACATGAACTTCAACGGCGGAGAGGACTCTGAGATAGTCCGGGTGAGGCCCCCACTACCTACACGTCATGGCATAGTGCTAACGGAGCTAGACTATGAGCAGGGTGACCATCAACACTGTAGTCGATCCCGGCAAGGCAGCTTTATGCCAAGTAGTTGCCATCCAAAGCAAGGCCAACATCCGATACCACGCCATGGTAAATATGGTTCTCTCCCGAACTGAACTGCCCATAACTAACAGTTTCGTCCACCAGCTGACACAGCATTTCGCGAATGGTGATGCCTACTCATATCCTGTCCAAGGTGTGTTCAGGGACAGTCGTGTCACCGAGGCTATTTCAGAATGTATGGATGTCAATGAGGACAACAAGGATGAGGCTGCGGCTGCTGTTGTTATTGAGCAGAGCGGTACGTACTGCAATGACGGCACAAGAGTTGGCGATACGGGCATGTCGGACGAGGAGTTGCGCGAAGCATGTAATCTGTAAGCCTAGGCTGTGATGGTATGGAGGTCTCAGTCTGATTAAATTTCTCTTCTTATAAAGTTCTTGCCTTCATTTACCTATAATATTATTTTGGTTCTCATTTTGTGTATACTTTCCCTCTAGCCACTTTCCGGCTCGATGAGTCTCAGAAGTCTGCTCAATGTCTGCATGCCACCCAAAGGAGTTGATCCCTCAGAGCAGCGTAGAGAGAAGATATGGCAATCGAGCTGTTACATTGGGGCTGAAATGCACCTTGCCAGACGTTTACCTGTTAAAATTCACAGACATGTCATCCTGGCGTGAGGGGCTGAAGGTATTGTCTTACATGCTGCAAGCCGACAGCCGACAGCCGACAGCAGCGGGCTGCACGTCTTCGAAATCTTCCCACCAGTGTAAGTACAGCAAGAAGAATTGATCTGCAACCATGACATGTCCAAAACAAAGCCACTCTTTATAGTTAATCGATTAACCACTGGAATGCTCCGATCCTCCTTTCGAAAACGGAGATCTCTCAATAGTGTCTTTGTCTTCCAAGCCTACATCATTTCGCTCCAGCCCCAATACGAATAAGCCGTTTTAGTTACCGGACACGAAGGCGGAGGCGGGTGAGAAATTAGTGGCCTAAAAAAGGGATGATAGGGCTGTGCGAGCAAGGGCTGGCCACTAGTTTTCAGCTCGGCGACACCACTTCAATCATTTTGCTGACTGCCACTTCACTTAGCGCATCACCCCTACCTACGATGCTCACTGTGGCTTATTTGCGACGTCGTCCATTCGTCAATGGCAAAGCAGGCTCTGGTCTTTCTGGGCCTGGGCTCAGCCAAGTTCAATACGCCGATGCCACAGCCCTGGAATTGCAATTGCTACATAACAAGCGGCGAGCCCCTCGTAGCAGCTCTGAGGCTCTGCATTCACTTCTCTTTTCTTCACCCCCGTGAGATTGGCATTCCCGTTACCATCATTCAGGATGCGAAGTTCTTTCTCCATCAAAGCGGCGATCTTTGCCCTTCTCTCACTCGCCAACGCTCAGGATGTATCTGAGGACCTGGCTGGTGCCATTGCCGACTACAATTCTCTTTCCCTCTTCCGTTCCCTCCTCGGCGCGGCTCCTCAGGTGTTGGCTGAGACCCTTTCCAGCCAAGGCAGCAATGTCACCATTTTAATTCCCACCGATAATGCTATCAAGAGCTATCTCAAAGATTCTAGCATTTCAGATGTCACCGAATTGAACCAGACAATGCTCCAAGTCTTCTTTTCGTACCATACTATGGCAGCTTCTCTCTCGTCCACAGATTTTAGTGCTTCCCGAGGACTGTCGGTTCCCACTTTGCTAAAGAGCGAAGAATTCAACAACAGAACTGCAGGACCTCAAATCCAGAGCCAGTTCGGCAACAATGCTGACGGTCAGGTTGTGTTTGCTTCGAGAGTGCAAAAAGGGAAGAGGGCGGATGGGGATATCAGCGGGGCAGTCGTCAATCTCCGAGCAGGTGAGGAGCAAAACATCAAGATGACTGCTGTCGATGGATCTTGGGGTGAGAAGAATGCCAGCAGGTTCCAGATCGTGGACAAGTGAGGGACTCCAAGCCGGCTCGCTGGGATTAGGCTAACATCCATATACAGAGTCCTTCTCCCCCCTCTATCCTGCTCCCAGACGGTCAAAGCTGCCGACGACAAGAGACTTACAGCCCTGAATGGCGCCCTTATCAAGGCGGGTTTGTGGCCCGCCCTCGACGCCTCAAAGAACGTCACTTGTCTTGCACCATCAACCCAAGCGTTCAAGGACGCGGGAAGCCCCGATGTTGAGCTGTCGAAGGAGGATCTGGGTGGGGCCCTACTGTAAGTTATTTCTCCTCCACATGCGAGGATGTACTGACACATTCTCAAGGGCTCATACCCTTAACGAAGTTACCTACTCCAACTACCTGCGTGACGGCCAAGTCATTGGAACTCTGAACAAGACCGAGGTCCGAGTAAGAATCATAGATGACGACATCTTCTTCAACAACGCCAAGGTTATCGAAGCAAATGTGCTTACTAACAACGGTCTCATCCATATGTAAGACATAGCTCACTCATCGTATCAGACATGCTAACTGGCGCAGCCTCGATTCAGTCATTCAAGCTGGTGGAAAGCCTAGTGAAACTAGCACCGGAACATCGTCCACTGTAACTGCGAGTGCTACTTCAAGCGGGTCAACGGCCACTTCGAGTGCTGCGACAGTTTCCCCCGACAATGGAAACTCTGGTAGTCGCTTGTCACTCGATTTTGGAATGTTGAGTGTCTTGGTTGCTGCATATGCAATCATGTGAAACGTATTAATACGGTATTGGGCATATACTAAATTGTAATAAATTCCTGAATTCCTTATGAATATTGTATTAATTCTTCAACACCTGGTTTTGTTGTCTCGGACGGTCTACCTAGATTGCATACCTGCGTTTGCATAATAGCAAGGCGAGGTTGAAGGAAAGCGATATATAGCTTACCTAAACTTATATATCTTAAGTTAATAATGATAATAAAATAATATAATGCTGTTATTTAATAGTTAATTATAAAATAATAATAATATTTAGTAAGATAAACCTTACTTATAGTAAGATGGTTTTGAATTTTAATTAATTTAGCATTTACATAAGTTATAATTACTTAATCTAGCTAGCTTTATGCTTTGTTAATATTTTATCAAGTCCTACTCATATTAGGCCAGAGCCCTCTTGTCCTCAATGCTCTTTTTATATTCGTAAACTACATTATATATAATTAGAGTTAAGGCCGTAGTTCAACAGACAGCACAGAAGCGGGCGCTCTTGCGCTCAATTGGCGAAGGAATACGTACGGCTCTTTCGGAAGGTGTTGATTATCATATCTAAGCCTTGATGAATAGGCGCCAGGCATCTTCGACATATGAGAACCCGGTTTGATTTCTCGATGCTGCCCAACCAAGCCTAACGTTTGCCCATGCTGAACTTAGAGTCTGTAGTTAAACCCTCCTGAGGTATACTGAATCGATTTGAGTTCTAAAGAGGTACAAGGTCTGGATTCATTAATGACCCGCTATTCGAGAGCCCTGAGATTCTCGCGCATTACAGACTCACTGTTTGTGGCTGCGCTCGCGACCCTGCGAGGCTGACCTTGTACTACTCCCCTGTGACAAATAATGTTATACAACAAGCAGAAACGCACCGACACACTCATCAAAGCATTTCATAACGTAGGTGTACATTAGTACGAATACCTATGGTGCCAAGGTGTATGTGATAAAGAAGAATATAAAGAAGCTATATACTCTCCAAGATGAAACAGCCCCTTGAATAAAGCTATGTACTGCGCTGTTGAGCAATACGAAAGAAGAATGTAATCGAATGGGAGGGAAAAGTGGAAGCAAGACGCTTTACCGTAGTAAATATGATCAACACGAGTCTGCAACTCTGTCGATACAAGTCCTTCGAGCTCCAACTTATAGGTTTCTCATACCTAAGCAACATGGTACTAGCTTAGAAGAAGGTCAGAATAACACTGCCAGGAGCCGTTTCTGTTTGCCAAGTCTCAGCGATATCCAGACCAGGTGCAGCATAACTTGCTCCGCCACCGCCAGGAGAGCCTGCTATCTCGCCAGCATAAACCGTAGAACCAGCTCCATATGCTGTTTCGTTCTGATGCCATCCACTAGCACCACCACCTCCTCCAAAGTAGCCGCCGCCACCACCTCCGCCACCTCCTGCAAGACCTGTATGATTAGCAGTACCGCCATCACCTCCATTGCGACCGTTTCCTGGTTGACCTGCAGCGAAGCCGAGATGGACTCCAGAGATGTAATCACCTGCGGCACCAGGACCAGTGGTAGTACCAGCTTTGCCTCCTCCCATAGTAAGCATAGTCGCAATTTCATTGCCCGGCTTGAGGAATTGATTGATGGGTAAGTCCCAACCGTCAGAGCCCCGAACACCAGCGATACTTCCGCCCCTGCTTACATCCACAGAGTTAGGTCGATAAGGGTAGTATCGGGAGTCGCCTTTCAAGTGCCACTCATAGGCTGAATAGCAACCTCCTCCACCGCCAGCGACGACAACCAAGTTTCCCCCGACGAAGAGTGCTGATCCTGCACCGCCAGTTCCGCCATTTTGAGTGGCATTGCCACCGTTACCATATCCCTGTCCAGGGTAACCTATTCCTGTACCAGAGCCTAAGCCTTGACCTCCAGCTATAGCCTGGATTGACTGCCCCGGCACAACTGGCATGGAACCTTGCAAGATAGCTCCATAGCCCCCTCAGCCTCTTGGGTTACCTGAACCACCAGTGACACTGAATGCCATGCTCGTGGCACAGGCGGGTACTTGGAAACTGGCTGATCCTGACGAATTGAGGGTTGCGTTAACTGTGGTTGCCACTGATACCACAGAGCACTCAGAAGTAGCAGTTGTAGTTCCGCCTGAGGTAGTAGGTAAGGTAGTCAGATCAGTAGTGGAAACTGTAGAGATCTTAGTGGTAGGGGATGTTTCAAATGTAACAACAGTCGTAGTTCCGCCGCTTGTTGCCGGGAGAGTAGTTAGACCAGTAGTAGAAGCAGTTGAAGTCTTAGTTATGAGGCCACCTCCAGGGACTGTCACAAATGTAACGATGGTTGTAGTTCCGCCGCTTGTTGCCGGAAGAGTAGTCAGACCAGTA